CCTCCCAAGCAACCGGTACCAAAAAGAGGCCGGACTCTCCACCCGGCCAGAAGATATAGCGGCCTGCTTTGCCTCTTGGGCGGTGACTTCCAGGCCGCTCGGCCTCCCAAGCAACCGGTACCTCCTCCCTTTCGGAGGGAAACATCATTGCAGACTCTGATATTGCCTGTACAGGCCCTAGACCCAGACTGGTTGGACTGATATCCGCCTAGACCTAACCTACAACTACTGGGGCTCTAAAAATGCCACTTTTGTCTTCTTCTGCTCGGCCTCCGGTACCTGCACATTTACCCCTTCCAGGTGCTGTACCGGCCTACCCGCTACTTGAGTGTTTTTCCCCGCTGCAACCCCTCAATGTCACGGCCACAGGTAAGTACCGGCCCTGAGGGCCCAACGAATGAGCAAGTGCCCTGACGGGCCACACACATACTCATGCCAACCAGCACTCAGACAGGCACGGTCACACACACACCCAAGCCAACCAACACTCAGACAGGCATGGTCACATACACACTCAAGCCATCCAGCACTCAGACAGACATGCAGTACAGCAAGCGTGCACACACAGACTTAGTAGCAAGCGGGAAACTCAGCAGGGCATTCAGTCTATGGGCAAAACTCAGAAATCAGTTGTGTGTTTCAGTCCATGTATGGACGGGTCATCACATGCTGGTGGTTGTTCGCCTGCGAGGTTGCAGGCGATGCTATCGATCGAGTCGGTGCGGATGTCAGACATGTTGATGGAGGATGCGGCCATGTTGGGGGAAGAGGGGGTGGAGGACGCAGCCGGAATGGATGTGGAGGATGCAGCAGCAGCGGTGGTGGTGGCAGCAGCGGCGGTGTTGGCATCGGCGCGTTGGGAGTTCTTGGTTTGGCGTGGTGGCATGTGGAGGTGGGGGGGCAATCCCTTATTTATTTATCAATAAATTCAAAAATAAAGATAATTGCCAAGATTTTTGGGAAGTAGGGAAATATTGAATAAATAAATTTATTCCGATTGGAATTTATTTATTCGAAATTAATTTGGGTAGAACAAAATTTTGAAGGATCCGAAGGAGAGATTTACAAAATTCGTTGTTCAAAATATTGGTAGAAAATAAATTTGAATTTATTTCAAAATTTATTTACGTGAAATTTTGGAATATTTTCGAATTATAGAAAGAATTAGGAGGGGGAATTTTTAAAAATTTCGTTGAAATTTTGGAAAATTAATTCCGAAGGAAGGGATTAATGCAAGGAAAATGAGAGAGAGCGAGATGACAGACTCCAGATAGCACAATCACATTGAAAGCAAGAAAGTTCCACAGTGTCCGGATAAGCAGCATTGCACCAATATTACACCAATGGAGAATTGAAACACTGTAACCGAATGTCAATGAGAGCTTTACTCTCATCCCCACCAACATACGTATCCAGGCCCTCTCTCCCTACTTGGCGCTCGGCGCCCAGGCTACTCCCTACACAGCTACTTTCTGCCTACGAATTGACAATGCAACTGTTGACGTCAGCAGCCACCGAAGTACTTGAAGATGTCGACCAAAGCAGACCATCGCCAATACCAGGTATGCGCCCTCACATCATCATCCTTATCTTTTTCACTCTCTCCCTATCCTTGTCTTCCTCCCATGTCTTCTCCCTTATGCATGAAGACCACCGCCAGTGGCGAGCTGTTTCCTTTATGGAAAGTGCTCGCCCAGTCTGCTCCCTGACTGGGCCTCGTGTATTTCCAGTAGCTTCCAATCGGGGCAAAGTGTCTGCGCCCAGGCCCATTCAGATAGTGGCCTGGGACCGAATTGGTTGAGCCTGCCCAACCACCCAGGAGTAAACGTGAGGTTCTCCCTGCTTCGCCTGTGCTGCTGGAAGAGTCTAGAAGGCTCAAGAATTATTTATGATTCTCACAAGTATGGAGGATGAAACCAACTGGCGCATGGCAACTGTCTGGCGCCCACCAAACTTTGCCAAAATTGATGAACTCAGGCCATATGGAATTCAGGGGCCCGCCTTCGCTTAGGGCGGGCTCATGCTTGCTGAAAGAGCCCTACAGGGAAATCCCAAGGATCCAACTCGTAACGAAGCCTTGGTGAAGATCAATGCCCACATGGGGTTTACGACAGGCTCTGCTTGGACCCCTCAGCCTGGTCTCATAGCCCTATAAACAGGCATTGGCACATATTTGCAGGCCCGCCTTCACTTAGGGCGGGCACGACACTTTCAGACACTTCCGAGGTACTAAATCCTCGCATACCTTCCCCCTTAGCTTTGAAAGTCCCGTGAGAAAGCCTTTTGTTCACTTCATCTGTTACTCAGCTCAAAGTTGTTAGCTTGTTGAGAGTCGCTGATGTAATTGCAAGCCTTCTCCGTGGTTTGAACTTCAGAATATACAGCTTCACGGCTCCACAGCTTGTTGTTGATGTCTTCAACTATGGTTGGGGGCAGCATGCACCTTCTTCAGGCAGGTACTCAGACTCAAAGACAGTTGTAAGACAGAGATGGTAGGATAGCTGATTGGGTTATTAATGATCTGGACATCACAGGAAAGAGTACGAATCGTTTGTCGATTCCATCTATGCAGGTCATTGTCTTGCCAGTTGCAATCCATCGTGTGAAACGACCGCTAGGACACCCAAATAATCTGAATATAGCATTATCAAAGATGTTCGTCTTCCTTCCAAGTGCAGATTAGGGCACTCAAATTCATTCTCCTACATGAAGTGTGGACGGTGGACTGTGATATGGTTACAAATTCATATATTTGAGGATTTATTGGAAGACGCATATGGCCTTATCCATTCCTTCTTCCCTAGCTTTGTCAGTCGCTGTCCAGCATTATAGGCAGTTTTCTGTAGGTCTATCCCACAGTAGGAGGAATTATTCCTAGCTCTTGAACAGCCTCTCTGGTTTCACCTCCTGACGGTAAGCAAGAAGGTTTGAATTCTCTGTAACACTTATTTTCTTACTCTACAGAGGTTTGGAGGGCCTGCCCCTCCACAAATTTAAGACTTAGTACATTTCGCATCGTGATTGCCTCTGTCCAACTAGGAACATTGCAACCCTGAAGTGGTACCTAACACAAGGTTGCGACTTTTCGGCAGCTAAAATATTGTCCTTAGCTGCCTTCCCCCATAGGAGGAAGCACCGGCTACATTTGTTATGTAATCCTGACACACTAATGCTTTCGTAATGGCTAAGCTATATACTACAAATCGCCTTAGCCGGTGCACACGTTCCCAATGTGTGCTTCCCACGGAAGTGCTCGCAGTGCTTCCCTAGGTTGAAGGTGCCTTACCCCTCTTTGGGCTGCATCCCCATGGTGACCAACTGAACTGGACCCCTCGCCTTGGTTTGACCATTCATGCCATACACTTTGTTGGTGCCCCTTTCAAGCCGGTCTATCCGCACATCCCAGACCCTCTCTCATCCTTATAGACAGAGTAGGACCTTTCCCCTTGACTCCTAGACTGGTTGCCCTTCCGCATACCGGTCGCCTCAGCCTAACTACAAACGGCCAACACTCCTCCCTCTGGTTTCATGGCCGCCTACTCGCTCTGTTTGTACCCCAAGATCGTCCTTCCGTCGATCCCGGGCTTGCTTCTTCTTCCTCCTATCATCCAAGCCCTTACACACATTACTTAGCTCGGTCTCGCAGTCCAAGCCTTTTAGAAGAAGAAGAATCGTTTGTAGCCTAATTGGAATCACTTCCTACTCTTAGTAGGTAAGTATCTAGTATGAGTAGCGAAGCGAACAGGGATGTAGCACAACGACCCCTGCAACACAACTAGTTTTCTCTGTCATGTCGGACAACTTATGAGTTGCAAGCATTCTTGTCTCATCTCTTCCCCTGACAACAGAAACTGATCAAGAGACTTGGACCTAACCCAAGAATCAAGATCACGGTTGTAAACATGGCCCTGTGCCTACCCATCCAACTACATTGCTCCAGCAACGTTTTCTCCCTTCTCTAAACGCGTGTCTCTGGCCCTGGACCAACCACTTGTGCTTGGAACAGGTCACCTAACCTGTTGCACAAGCCGCCGGCCCGGCGGCCGCACTGTAGTTGCAGCAGTTGATATGGGGACAGATGAAGCGGATCCTTAGTCAGCCACTACTATCTACTGATGAACCGCCTGCTGGAAATATGTCGTACTGAGGTACCAAGAGACCGCTCATAGGCAGAAATGACACGGACACACCGGCCACCGCTGGGGGAACTACAACGGGTTGCGCAGGCCTCGCCGTAGGCTTGGGGCCTCTCTGCGCAACCAGAATTTAATTCTGACCGGCTATCAATGCGGCCAGCATTTCCTAAGACACGGCCTGTACTTTGGCCACACTGACTAGACCGAAGTGGCCGCTTATTAGGAGCTTCCACATCCAAACCTTCTAACCTGCTTAGTTCCACCTCCCTCGCCTCTAGTCTAGTTTTTTTTTCTTCTAGCTCTATCTCGTTTATCCTCTACCTCCTGTATCTGGCGCTATAACTCTGTGGGAAGGGCATCGGTGTCTCTAATATTAACGTCCTCCATTGAGAAGGGTTGTTGTTGGCGGTCCTGCAAGCCAACAGACTGACTTGAGCAAGGCCCTGATATGCCCTGACTAACACCTATCAAAGAGGCTTGGGAAGAGACCTGGGACATTGCAGAAACGGTAGCCTTTGCTGCCTCAACCTTGGCTCTAACATGCGCTGCTGCTACAGTTGAGAGTGCCATCACTGGATTGACTGCTGCCACCTGCACCTTCTGCGAGACCCAACCCCCCTCAACTGCTCTCCGCTATCTCCTTTCCTCGCCTGGCTTTAACACCAAGCAAGTGGTCGGCCGACGAAGTGCCTGTCCATGGGCAATCCTTCCCTCATCCTAGTCTTTGTCTCAACCTCATCGTCATCTTCACCCCAAAGCTACACGTGGACCTACCGCGGCGTGGCACCGAACCGCTTAATAAATAACATTAAATATACGGTTCAGATCTATCAGGAAGCAATCAAGCGGTAACAGTAAATAGTTTCAGACCCCTGCAAACAATTCCACCCTTGGTCCAGATCTATCAGGAAGCAATCAAGCGGTAACAGTAAATAGTTTCAGACCCCTGCAAACAATTCGACAATTACTTTTGACTAGTCTGGAACAGATGCTTGCAGCAAGAATAGACAACTACTCTCACTGCAACAGTCTGTTAGCTGTTAGCAGTCTGTCACAGCTAACTAATCAAGAAATAAAAATAAAACCGTTTGTTGAAATGCATGCTGAATGGAAATATTACAATATTGAACATTCGAGCAATTACTGGAATCTCCCCTCCCCCTGTATCCCTCTTGAGTGTCTAAAGGTGTGCAATCCGGCCACCCCTGTGCCCCAAGTCTATGCTAAGTCTGTCAGCCCTGCATCTTCTTTATCCTCGCATGCAACGAGCCTTACTTCCGGTTGATCTGGCCGATCACAGCCAGGATCCAACAGGAATCCGCCATAAATATTTATAGACGGTCTGGTAAGCGTCTCTTATAGGGCTGGCATGCCCAGCATGACCTCTATTGCTCATGAAGTAGGACCAAGGACTTGCGGCAAAGCATGCGTGTACTAGTCTCAGTGGGTTGGCATGGTGACCGTGACCCGAGTGCTTCTTCCAGGGCCCTTCAGAGGCTTCGCCCGTCTCCCACCAGCTTGCTGCCCAGGAAGAATGTCGACTCTCAAGGTTGAGCGCTCGCGACACCTCACGTAGAGAGGACTCTCAAGACAAGACTCACTTCCTCACAGTAAGAAGCAACGAAGAGGGTAGATAAGGTAAGGAGCAACGTACCTCATAATGCTGCCCCCAACCACAAATTTCTCACCAGTAACCTGACGTGCATTTATGATGACCAGTCGATCCTCGACACAACCCACAAT